TGGTGACGTCAACAGCTCCCCGTAGTACGAGCAGATCTCGGCCAATGTCGTTCGCCTCAAGCACCAGGTATGTCTCTCGCATCACTCACAACCTCAATCCCCCACTCACAGATGCCATGTGCACCCAAGGACCACCATGCGCCCCATCCAGCATAGTGCAGCGCAGCTCGGCTATGGCTGCCTGCTCATCCAGCTCGCACGTGAGCGTGTGGGCTCTGGCTAGCGTATAGCGCAGCATGCAGCCAGTCCCCGAATGCCCAATGCGAGGGCAGACACTTTCCTAAGTGGAACTGGCCTGCCTGCTGCGTGTGGCCTGGCTGCACTGGGCCCCTGCCCAGAAGCTTCCGGTAGGCCCCGAGAGACTGAGCCCCTGTCCAAACGAATCAGGCCCAGGGCCTGTGACGGTTGCCTGTGCGCAACTGCCTGCAGCCTGTGTTCGGCCCTTGGAATGTATCTGGCCCAGGGCCTGCCTCAGTTACGTACGGAAACGGCAGCAAGGGCCTGGGTGCTCTCAACCAACTGGCGCTGCACAACTGCCTGAATTTCCCCAGTTGCGTGGTAGCCGAAAATAGGCCTCTTGGCCGCGGTCGGGCCTGCCTTCACTTAGGGTGGCCGACTGTGCTGCTTACAGGGGAAAAAGGGGGCTCATCGGGGCCTTATGCCTCGCACCAGTCAGCAAGTACCAGGGTAGGAGCTGCACGTGGTTGGAAGGGAAGGGCCCAAGCGGTTTAGAGAAGGGTCCGGAACACTCGTTTTGGGGCCCAGCAGCCCCCGTGTTTTGGCCCAGAAGGCCCACACGTTTTGGGCCTGCCAGGCCTACGCAGTCTGGAAGTTTCCAGACCCGGGGCCCACGTGGTGAGAGGCCAGGCCCACGCGTTTAGAGGCCCAGGCCCATGGGGTTTGGGGCATGCTATAAATAAAGAGGCGGCGTCCAGTCATTCATTCAATCCCCTGTGAGCCATGCGGAAGGGCTGCCTTGGTGACTTGTGCGTGGAGGTCTGCAGGTGCCTGGAGGTGAAGTGGGTAGTGAAGGAGGCGACGGCCATAGCTGGCGAGGAAGAAGACGAAGGTGGCCATAGCTGCCCAGCTGTTGTCACAGACAGAGTGTACAGAGTGTGTGTGTATGTGTAGCGTGGAGATTCAGGGTAAACAAACGGACAAAAGTAAGAAAGAGAGAGGAAGAATTTGAATGAAAGAACGAGAGAAAGAAAATGAGATAGATAGATAGATAGATAGATAGATAGATAGATAGATAGATAGATAGAGAGCGAGCGAGACAGCGAGAGAGAGAGAGCCCGCGCGCGTGCGCGCGCGCGCGCGCGCGAGAGAGAGAGAGAGAGAGAGAGAGAGAGAGACAAAGAGAGAGAGAAACAAAGAAAAGGAGAAAGAAAGAAAGATAAACAACCATATGAAAAGAATGAAAGAAAGAAATAATGAAAAAAGAGACAGAAAAGATCAAGTAAAGAAAGAAAAAGAGAAAACGAGCAAAAGAGAAAAAGACAAGGACAGACAAAGAAAAAGAAAGAAAGCTAGAAAAAGAGAAAAAGAGAAAGAGAGAAAAAGAGAAAAGGGGAGCAAGAATGACCAAAGGAACGAAGGAGAGAGAATGAGCAAACAAAACAAAGAAGGAAAGAGAGAGAGAAAGAGAGAAGGAACGAACAAACGAGAGAGAGGGCGAGAGAGGGAGTGTGTGTGTGTGTGTGTGTGTGTGTGTGTGTGTGTGTGTGTGTGTGTGAGAGAGAGAGAGAGAGAGAGAGAGAGAGAGAGAGAGAGAGA